AAATGGATAAGAGGAGCTATTTAGCACGTTTTAAAGACCAAATCCTTTTAGCACGCTGTTGATAGATCAGTTTGTACATTTTTTAGCGTGCGCAGTGAAATAGCTCACGTTTTTATACACGCAAACCTTTGATAGATCCAGCCCTTTATCATTTTGGAATGTCTGGAATCATGACATTTTGCCCTTCTAGGTTTCATTATACGTTTTTTTTTTATGTTTAATAATGACCATTAACTTGTATCTTTACTTGCAACCATAGAAATGGAAACCGTTTTTTATGTTTTCAGTTACATTGTTCAGCCGGTAAACTTTGGGATTTTGCTCACACCTGGATTCTTCATTAAAGTATCATTCGTGGCTGAAGATATGGGTGCTTCATATTCCACTGAGATCTGATGGTCACCTTCAAATCTTACCATGTTTTATTGTAGAGCTCTAGGGTAAGAGATAAAATTATAAGTGATGATGTTTAGGAACAGAAAAAAAGAAAGCTCAGCTCCGGAATTTTTTATGAGGAATTTTCCTTTCCACACAATCAGAGTCTTAATGTTTTGGGATTTTTTTTAGGCTTTTTTCAGTGTTTTCCTAGTATTCAGACAGTTTTAGATCTTTTTTTTTTTAGACAGTTTTCAAATGAATTATGTCTTTGCTCATTGAGCTGCATTTTTTACGACCTCATCACTTAAGAAATACACCAAAAAAAGAAATAATTTTAAAGAATGCCACTAAGTAAACCTGAGAAAAAAATTTAAAGAGCAAAGAACTTACACAGTTTAATAACAAAACAAAAACCAGCAAGCATCTAAAATGACGTTAAACAGAAAATGTAGCAACAAAGAGAACATTCTTATCACACTGAAAACATACAGCATGACACTGTATGTTCTATTTTTTCATAAATTTTTCTTTTTACTTCATTCTACCATTAAAAAAAATACAAACAAAGCAGTTTCCATAATAAAAACGAAAATAATAGCATAAAGTTCTTCTCTCACCAAGTTCTTTCGCTGGTCTCAACCAGACTCAGGGTCAGAGAGATTAAACCAGCTCAGAGGAGAAAACAGTAGACTTTTAGCATTGAGGAAGTTTAGGGGGTGTTAAACATTCAGCGCCAGTATGCTCTGTTGCCTATCAGCAGTGATGGGCAGTAGCGCCGCTACATGTAGCGCAGCTATTAGTTTAACTACATTTTCCAGTAGCTTGACCGTAGCGTCGCTGCTTTATTTATCAAGTAATTTTCCAGTTGTGATGTTATTATTTTTATCATGTAGTGACGTAGCGTCCACAAACGCTACAAAATCCAGGGCATAACTAAGTAATG